GCCATTTTTCTTCCCTTAATCTTCTCTGAAAAGTGTTTTGCAGCAGTTCACAGTTAAAATAAGTCCTTAAGGGATTATTTAGCAGCTGAATTCAGCTGAAATTACTAGATTTCTAGCTAGCATTAGATTGTAGAAGTAAATGTCTTCACTTCTCCCCAGTTCATAGCAAAGTTATATTTTATGAAGATTGTTTTATCTGAGAACGTATTTCCTTTAGGCACCCTGCTTTTATAGCATTCTATTTGTGATTTAATGCACATGGAGGTACATGTGTGTTACTCTTATAATGGAACCAGAGGAAAAAAATTAAAATCTGTCCATCTGCAATAGTTCAGTGAGAAAGAGCTATTGTTTTCCAGTTTTTTTTCAGCCTGTGGAAGATTGCCTTTTCCTATCTAATTGTTAGTAGAGGAAGGGAGGGAGTTGAGTGCTCCATCCAAGGAACACTGACACCGGCATGTAAAAGCTCAATTGTGTAACTAATTATCTAGAAAGAGCCTATGAAACAACAGCTGGAGAAGATGAAAGCAGGTGGATTTGTGTCTTGAAAAGTCCACCACATGCCAAAAACCAGTACAGTGTGGGGTCATCTTTCATGGCATGTATTCAGGAAAAATAGCTCTCTTTCACCTCCTACACCTGAGATCTCAATATGAAAGGTTACAGGTTGCTTATTCCTCTTTCCAATGGACTGAGTCACAACTTCCAAGGGTAGGAGCCTACAGGAAGAGTTCAAAGGTGGAATGTTTGTGCAGGAATTTAACACAGGCAACTTCTCTGCTTATTTTGCAAGAGGCAAAAGCAGACATCTCTAGAAGAGGAAAACAAAGTTCTGTTTTAGAGAGCTGATAGTTTTACTGCCTCTTTTGCTGCCAGGATAAGGTCCTCAGCTGGCATGAACAGCAAAGTTCTGTTGAAGTGCAGAGTTGTGCCAGGTAAAGCCAGCCTAAGATCAGGCCCTAGGACATGTAGTCAGGATGCCTTCATGATGTCAGGTGCCCTGAAAATGTGTGACAAAGCTTCTGCCAAGTCTGTTACTCCAAGTGGCTCTCTTAAAAAGCTTGTTGCTTCAAAGAAATTATGAGCAAACTACTACATTTTATTATCTCTCTCTCTCTCTCTCACACCTTCTTTTTGTATTTTTCTTTCAACTAAACCATACTGATTTTGAGCTATAAAGCTTTGTAAAAGTCTTCATAAATTAATGAGCTAAAGCCAGCAGTATGCAATGATGCGTGTCACATAAAAATGTAATCAGCATTTTTCCAAGAATTGCCAACACCTTAAAACTTTGCAATAAACCATATATTTTTTAAGTGGTGCAACCAAATGAAAACTCTACATTTGCCAGCAGAAGGTGGATTGCTGATGCAGTAAATCTGCTTTTCTTGTACCATTCAGGCAATTAATCCTTTATTTCAGAAAAATCCCCATGAACCAGCTGTGTGTGTTCCCAGCAGCGTAAAGATAACTTGTGAAATTTGGGAATTGTTTCACTTTTTCAATCATTCACTTTCCCCTCTTTCTGTCCCTTCTTAATTCAGCCAATAAGAAGATATAGAGCACTTAATAAAGTTGTTCTCAGCCTTAGCTGAATACTCTGGAGCATTAGTGTGCTTAGTTTTAAATAGAGGATGGATAGTTTTCCCTGTCCAGGCTGTTTTTTCCAAACATATGCTGTGTTGTGGTTCACATATTTCATGGAATATGACTCTCTGGATATGCTGCATGCTGTGCTATAAGCTCTTTGCATAGACTGTAAATCCTCAAGGATTTGGCAAAGTAAGAATTTTGTAACACATATATTTACTGTCTAGGGACCTGATCCTCGAATTAGTCCCATACAGGTAAAGTCTTACACTTACATAGATGCAGCCATATTCTTTTAGCTCAAGGGTCTGCTCAGCAGACTTTCACTCAATAAATATTGAAGGATGCAAGATCCCAGCATCAGGAATCAAAGAGAATGCTTTCTAAATGTGGTGCCTTTAGTTAAACATCCCACAGTGAATTTGGACTAAGACCTGATCCTATGCTGAATTCATCACTCTTAATCTGCGGTGTGGGGGGAAAATCAGAAAACCAATGAGACAAAAATAAACATTTTGCTCAGATCTGCCTCCTTATCTGCCATTGGAAGGTCCCATAAAAGAATGAAAAAGAGTGTTGAAATACAGCTACAAATTGAAATGGTCTTATTGCTCTTATTGGGACAGCATATAAGAAGTCTGTGTATATGATGTGTGTCTGTGGTCTTTGACCACAAAACTTAACATGAGAAAGGAAAGTGTTGACATTTGTTAAAGAAATAGGTTCGTCCCAGCCACCCACCCACAAATACTGTGTGTAGCAGTCATCTCCTAATGTTCTTTTTTTCCCTCCAGATATATGTGAGTTCTCTGATCTTTTATTTGGCTCTTTAATGCATCCCTGCAAATGAAATTAGTATTCTGGGACCTTGCTGGAACATTCAAGTGGCGCTTTTGCATCAGCACTGGCTGGCTTGAAATGAGCTCCAAAGGGAGTCTTGAAAGGGGGGATCCCACATCACAAACTGGTTGAGGATGTAGAATCAGGAAAGGAAGATTAGAAAAGGAAGAGGTGTTTGATTTTGGGGGGTTGTCTGAGCCTCCTCTTTCAGCTCTAAAGTTTCCTTAGCTGGAGTCTAAATTTCCAGCACCAAAAATAAGTAGAGACAAAACTGTTCAACTCTGGGCCCTGCGCATATGGTTTGATAAACAGCAAAGAGCACAGCCTGGAATCCTGCATGGCTCACACTGTGTTTCCAGCTCTGTGGTAAACACATGAATAGAAAGGAGAAGGCAGCAAGTCTTAAACTGCACTCGCCAAGAACATCTGCATTTATGAAAAACTTTCCCTAATTGAAAATCTAGTAGTTTCAAATGCTTTCCAACTGAGAGTTTGGAAACTAGCTCAGGGGCTGCTAAGATAGCAAGAAACAGCAGTGGCTTTGAGCCCCCAGTTCAGGTTACTCCCCCACCCTCCTCCTCCTAACTTGGACATTGAGGAGGTGCTAATAACATCTTCACAATTTCTAACAAGGGAGAAAAGTCTCTATTTAGACTTCAACCACGTTATTCTGTAGTTCTCTAAATCCCTGTCCTTACCATCATCTCCCCTTCCCTCCTCCTCCTCAATACTTCCTCCTGTTTCTTTGAGATCTACTACACCAAAAATATTTTTGGAAATACCACAGACTATTGTTTTTATTAGTGACTGGAAAGCTTTGTAGTAGGATGCTTTTGTGTTTCATTTGTTTTCCTTGCTCTGGCACAGCTGTTTTTGCTTTAGCAGCTTTAGAGAGATGGTTAAACTATTTGTGGCCTTTTCTAACCCAGCAGATCTCTTCCACTGAGTGCTTTAAACTGAATGACAGACTGTAAGTAACAGGTTGTCTGTGTGGGCAGTTTTGTGCATAAAGTTACAAATGCACTGTTTTTATGAGATCTTTTAATTTGTTCGAGCAAAACTCTGATCACTGTGAAGCAAGTCCCAGTTTCCCTATAAATTTCCCAGCCAGAATGCTGACAGAACCTTGACTCAGGAGGATACAGAGCAAATGAAGTAGTAGATCTTGTCTAAACCTACACATGTTCAGAAATATTAATGGAAAAGATGTTCATGTAGGTGTGGTGATCCCCACTTCAGCCAAGAGGGGAAAGGAAGAAAAGCCAGAGCAGATGGTGGGGCTAGAATGTGGTCTGAGGACAAACCTGCCAAGGTGGCATGTAGCTGCTACAAATGTCTTCCTGGCCACAGTGGTTACACAGAGCAAGATGGGGAATGAGGGAATGGGCATCCAGTCAGAGGATGGTGACAGCAGAAAGTGGTAAATGAAGAATGAAGCAAACAAAATGTAATGTAAAATGAAAACGTAAATGGAGAGTGAAAACATAACACATCTGTGCAAAGGCAAAGGGAAAAGCAAAGGGAAAAGAGGAAATGAGTTGCACTGGAGGTTTTAATGTTCATGTCTGGTGACATAATGTAAGTGATATTGAAAATAATGGGCTGATGAACAGCAGGAAAATGGAAGTTAAGAGTGTAACTGTGTCCTGCTAAATCCCAGTCTTACCACACATTCTCACCACCTCTGCTGGGCAGACACAAGCTGCTGAGCAGCAATTTGGTTTAGAAACCTGCTGTGCTTAACAGTGGCTTGGCAGTTTGTTTCTGGCAAGGTCAGGCACGTGGCAGACCTGGCTGCATTTGGCTGTGTGAACTTGGGCTGGCACTGGGCAGGTGTGTGGGTATGGAGGAGGTGGCACCATCCCTGTCTGCACCTCACAGCAGTGGAAAAGCAACACGTAGATCAGCTCACTGACTGGATATAATGCAGGTGGAGTGGTGAAAGGACATATTCCATCTACTATTACAGTAATGTAGTGCATGTTTCTTACCTCTTTATGCAATAGGTTGGGAAGCAATTGCACTTGTCAGAAGTGGCAATTTGTGGCACTGCAAAAGAAAGGTCTTTCCAAGCACGTTTTTTCTTTGCTGTTTTTTGTCTTTTTCCTTCATTAAAAAAAAATGGCTTTCAACTCTCCTGTCAGTTTTCCTGGGGGTCCCATCTGTGGATCTATGACTAAATGAGGCCAGGGACAATGCAGAGATAAGAGTTACATTGGGAAAGAACATACTCAATTTACATATCCAGTCTGCACTACTTCTCTGTAGGTGTGTGTCATCTAGGAGGTTTTATTTAGCACAACGAAGTCCAGGGAATTATCCACATGTCTATCCCCAGACAGGGACTGTTGTGCCCAAGAGAAGGCACCTCACAAGTACAGGAGTATCAGCCATCCATCCTACAATGCCATAGCAACCAGTGTAGTTGCATTTAGCTCATTCTATGTTTTTCTTCTCAATCAAATAGCAACATTTACATTTCAGCCTAACCCCCTGCCCTGATTCTTGCCTGTGACTAGACTCCAGTTATGATCTTTGCACTGACAGTTCTCCTGACTGACTTGTTTCAGGGCTCCAAAGGGTGCGTCAGCTGGAGAAAAACACAAGGTACTTCAGACGAAAACTGCACGAAATGGGCTTCATCATTTATGGCAATGATGATTCTCCCGTTGTTCCCTTGCTCCTTTATATGCCTGGTAAGATAGGGTAAGTACTGAAAAAACCTTCCTGGCAAAACAAGCACTATTCAAGTTTGTGGGATATTTGGTACACACTGCAGAAGATAATGTTCTCTGTGGTAGGTGCTTCCCAGGAGAAACATACACTGTTATTTGAATTCATCATTTAGTTCTGTTTTCTTTTAAATTTGCCCCTAGGTTTAATTTTGAGTTGTTCCAGAAGTCAGAATTTTAAAATTTTTCTCTTTTCCTTTTTTAACATGGTCCAGAATAATGATTTGGATAACATTTTGAATTTGAATTTTTTGGTTTTGATTTTGTAATCATTAAAGGAGACACGTTGCCTTTGATGTATGGATGCTTTTTTTTTCCCCCCCATCTCATCTTTGAATGGTCTTTGCATGTTTTACCATTCAGTTCCTCTCAAGTAGCACTTGTGCACTGACTTGGGCACACAGACCAGAAGTCAGTAGTAGCATAATGTAAGTGTTGAGCTGTAGGGAGTATTTCAGGTGGCTTAAGGTGGCTGTGGGCTCTAGGTCTTATACATGCCACACAAGCCTTCCTAACTGGCAGAGCAATTGTGAGAGCAGATAAACCATCACACAGGTTGATTGTTGGTGAGCATCACACCTACTGATGTCCAGGAACCAAGCATTCATACCTTCCATGAGGCCAACCTCTTCTGTCCTTAGGGACTGTGAATGCTCACATGGTTTGATTTGTACTCAGGGACTTTATTTGACATAAATGAATCATGTCTACCCTGCAGAGCCCTCTCTGCCTTCATATTTCCAGTATTTCTCAGCCACTTGGCTTCATGAGACACTAAGCAGCAAAGATTCTCAGTCCTGCTGGTAAAATTCTGGGTAAAATTCTGGCTTTTATGGAAATTGGTGGGAATACTCAATCAATTGAAAACAGGATTTTATCTACTACATGTGAATGTTTTCTGTCTGTGTTCAGTTTATTTGGGATAATGTATTTTTGATTTTTCTCCTTCTACTTTTTCTCTCCTTAGGGCTTTTGCAAGACGCATGTTAGAAAAAAATATCGGGGTGGTCGTGGTTGGGTTTCCAGCTACTCCTATCACAGAATCCAGGGCTCGGTTTTGTGTGTCAGCTGCACATACACGGGAGATGTTAGACACGGTAAGCGCAGCAGATGTCCTGCCCAAATTAACTTCAGCTGCAAAGGAGGCTGGGAGAAGCTGTGCCTCTCTTACTTTGAATCTCAATAATTCATTTTTACATTTGTTTTCCTGGCCTTGTCACTTGATCTTTAAAGGCATTTGAGCCTGATACATTTTATTTTCTAAAATAAATTATGGGACATTTAACTTCTTATGTTCTTCTATTTCTAATAGGGACCAAATCTGTCATCACTAATAAAAACCTACATGACCAGCACAGCAGGTTAAATGCTAGGTCAAAACTATCAGAGTAGGAAACCTGAAACTATATGGAAATAACTGAAAATCAGGTTTTCTATACCCATATTTCCATTCCATATTTCCATGTGTTTCTTGAATTGCAGAAATATATGGGACAGCCTTGGGGGTACAGGTGGAAATTGCAAACAGTATTTGTAACTGTTTGAACCTAATCAAGTTTAATTGCTGCTGTCTGGCCAGTCTCAGTTCTCTATCTTTCTCTGATATCAGAAATACCATTAGGAGTATGTTGAGACTTCCATCACAAACCTCTGTTCCAACACAGAAATGTGTTTAAAATAAACTCGTTGAAATTTTCCATTTCTTTTTTTTGCCAAAGGTGTTTTTGGCCTGGCTTGAGATGCGTTCTTTCATTCTCAGCATAAGCCAACTTAGAGGCATGAAACAAAGAGGCTAAACAATAAATTTCAGGCTTTGCTTTTCCTCTCTCTGTACGAGTGTTGATGGTCAAGGCTAAAAATCCTTGAACATGGAAAGGCATGTGAGTTAAATGTGCCGCTGTTCATGCAAACATACCTGCAGAGAGCTCCTGACTCTCCTTTTGCATCCTGAGATGTACCTGGATGTGGAGGCTGGAGCCCTGCCTGCTGACCAGCTCCCATACCAGTGTAGATAGCTTTGAAACAACATCAAAAACCTGCTTTGCATGTGTGCAGTGTAAAATTCCTGCTGCTTTTAAAGGTGCAGTAGTTATTAACAAGGTACAATAGCATCAAGGTAGTATTTCGTAGAACAGAGCATAGCTACGTTCTTGTGTTGGTCATTACCAGCTCCTGCTGTTTGACTGTGAGGATTTTGGTTATGTCACTGGCAACAGGCCATGAAGTTGATCTGAAGATTCATCTCCTGAGGTTGCTGCTTTGATTTCCTTCCTTTCCCCCCACCCCCAAATGTAAAGCCCACCTCATTTTTGGGCTGTCACTCTGCATTCACTTCCTGCTACCTGCAGCTTGCTGCTTCCAGGGAAGGTCTGACACTCCCCAGTCATCCCTGGGGGATGCTTTGCTTTTGCCACAGTGCTCGTGGCACTCTTACAGCACATGGAATGCAAATGCCCTGAGTTTAATTACTTGCAGAAAGAAAGCTTTTAGGACAAAACACTTTGTGACTGTGCCTAAACCCGGGGAAACAATAGGTAGCAGGCACAATGAAAACATTTCCCTCTGGCAAAATTTGTTTTGTATCTCAGTCTGGAACTAAAGAGGAAAGATCCATGAAAGGGCAAGCTCCCAAGAATTACTCCCTTAATGATCTGGAAGATATCTTTCTGCATAAATCATTACTAAATTACTTCTTTTTGTTGTAAATTGCTTCTTTTTGTTCATGACCTTGTTTAGTGGCTTAACAGAAATGGGCTCAAAATCAAAATTGCTGTTGCCTTCTTCGATGCCAAAAGCTTGGCTGCTCTTGAATGGGGGTCAGATGCTGCAAAACACTGAGCTGCTTCCCAATGGTACAGAGTTCCTTGGCTACTTTTCGAATCCACTGGGGACACAGCTCAGCAAATTGCATTACAGTATTAATGAACAAAAAATATTTGTCCCTGTGATATGTAAAATACTGACATTCACTAAAATCACCTTAACCAATTCAGACTGTTTATGCTGACTCTGCTCAGCACTGGGAGCTGAGCACTGCCCAAGAAAATACATTGGGAACTCCAATCTTTGGGAGCTATGGAGGAAAACTGAAGTATAGCTTCACACATTTCTTTTGCACAAGCAAAGATAACTTTTTATCTTGGTTCTTACCAAGATAAGTGCTTTTGGAAAAAGTAATTTTTTTCATCTGTGCTCAATTAATGTACTTACTAATAAACCATAATCTACTGAAGGAGTAAATTCCTTTCTCATAGATGCTGTTGTACATCTACAACTGCACTGATGTTCACTGTTGTAGAATGAATCCAAAATTTTCCCATTTGTCCTTTTAACTTTCTCTAGTTGATTTTTTTTTTTTTAAAATTTTTTTTTTTTTTAAAATTTTTTTTTTTTTTAAAATTTTTTTTTTTTTTAATAATCTTCTTGTTCTTCAGTGAAGTAGAAGTTACTAGAACTTCATTTCTTTTCCAGTAGGATTGATAAAGTATCATGGTCTTACAGGTTTTGAATGCTCTGGATGAATTGGGTGATTTTCTACATCTGAAATATTCCCGGTATTCCAAGTCATCTCATCCTGAACTGTATGAAGAATCTAGGCTTGAACTTGAAGACTGAGTTTTCCACCCATGAAGAGAACATTATGATGCTATGAAAGGGTGGAAAAACCGAAAACTAAACAATACAAATGCATTTCTTCCCTTCTAAGGACAATTTTTATTTCGCAGTTAATTGAAATGAGGGGAAGCTCGGGTGTTGCATCACTTTGTATCAAATTTCTGTATTCAAGAGACTGAAATATTGATACAGATTTGCCTCCCCAGGAGATCTGTCCTTATTAAGGTGTTTTTGATGCAGAAAGAATGGATGCATTGATCCAGTTGCTAACGTACTGCTTTTGATATGGCCCTTTTTTATGAAGAGTCTTCAGATAGTCTTAATTGTGACTGAAATAATAAAGTTTAAAAAGTTAATAGGTTCCAGTGTAATATAGCTGAGCTTCATCAGTGAGACTGACTTTGATCTGTTAAAGAGCATAAATGGAGACGTCGGTGTGGACTGCTACAAAGGAATGAGCAGCAAGTGACCTCTTTAGCTAAGTTGCACTATCATGCATTTCTCCAAGGACAGAAAGTGTTAGAAAAAGGCTAATGCAGAGAACAAGGAATGTAGCCTGATGAGATCGTGTATTTCTGACAGCAGGTTATGGAAAGTGAAAATTCCTCCTCTCCAGAGACCTTTTCTTGGTCACCTAAATGCACTCTAAACTTTGAATTGTACAAAAATTTGTGCTGAGACATAAACAGAAATGCTTTTCTGCCAACTCATTTGAGTTACAAGCCATCACCTCTTATCAGTACCGAAGTTCTTCAGCAGGCTTCCTCCCTTTTTGTGGAGCAGTAGTAAATAATTTTAATAAACATTTAACTTTCCCATAAAAACCTTGATCAAAACAGTCAGATACTTGCAGTTCACAAACTGCAGATGACATTTATGGGCCCATTCCTAAGTTTCTTGAACTACTTATGGGCCTCATAAATGCACTAACAAGTACATAATGCCGAAGCTGTTAGTTCCACAGAACGTGAAGTTCAAGATACCATAAGCAGTTCTGCCACCTGTTAAATAGAAAACTCCACCATTTCTATACATGCTACAGTCATCCATGAAATAACATTTCTTGAAATATTTTTGTCTGTTTTATGCATGTCGGGGGTTGGTCTGTCCAGGGTTTTTTTTGAGTTGTTTGTTTTTCAAGTAATTATTGTATTTCCTGAAGAGGAAGATGCCCTTGTCCCCCCTTGTCCACTGCCTGAATGACAAATGCTCAAAGCTACCTGAAGGAATTGTTCCAGCCAGCACTTTCCCTGCAATGCCAGCAGCCACAAGAATCAGGGTTGTGTGGGCTGAGTTGCTGGAAGGAGATTGGAGGCTTTTTCCATTTTATTTTTTTTCCCCAGTGTTGAAAAGCAGTTCTGCAGCTTTAAGAATGAACTCCAAACAATTCCACGCTATCAAATGTCATTGTAAACACATCAGATGAGAGATGTTTAGCTTTCTGTTGCACAGATGTACCACACTTTCATGTTCTCTTGAAAGCTGTGGTGTAAACTTAACCCACAGCTGCAATATTAGATTTAAGAACAGAACAATTAAATTGCGGAGTACCAATTACACTATATTACTCCCTGCTTGTTAAAGCAGCTTTCAGGATATAACAAGGCTGACTGATTATGAGGGCCCATTTTTTGTTGGATTTTTGTTGTTGTTGTTGTTCAAGTTAATAAAAATCCAGTGGTGCTATAACTTTAAGAATTGATTACAACACATTCCGTAATATCAAATGTCGGCTTTAGGAAATGTTTATCAAGGGCTGGGGGAGGACTAAGCGTTGTGTCATGTGATTCTTCACCGTGCTAGATGGACTTGAAAAGCACTGCAAAGGTTCAGGGGAGCTGAGTTTGTGGATAAGAGCAAACTCACTGTATAAATATTTAAATATTCGAGCACAGGACAAAGAGAAATTAGGAAACATGAACTTCATCTTGGAGTAACCTGGCAGTTTGTGGTGCACAGCTTTGTTACGTGCAGGGTGAGTGCACTTTCTGTGAAAGGAGATGGGTTGAGAAATTTCCACAACCTGTTCCTTGAGGAAAAGCACTGGGTTTGATATATCACTTTTTGATCTCTATTGCTGAACATCTGCGGCCAGATCCTCAGTTGACTTCTGACCTTCCATCTTGGGGTATACAGCCATAGTTTATATTTCAGCAAACATTATTACACATGCTGTTGCAGGCAACACACTATTTCCCTCAAAGAGAGGCCTGAGATTGATTAAACTACAGAGTGATCACTTTCTGTACCCCAATAGGGGAATGTTTTCAGTCTAAAGCCAAATTCTTCCTGCCCTCAGAACATTATTCTCATTCATATTAAGGAGACAGGACAGCTATTTTTTAGACTGTCAGTTGATTTATTATGTGCTCTCTTCTGATTTCTTCCATCCCTTACACACTAGAGAAAGTACACACTGACTACCCCTGGGCTTGGGGAACAGTTAGGGAGAAATCTCTGCTCCACTTGTGCAATAATAAAACTCCCAGGAACTTCAGTCTTTTAGATTTTCCCCACGAGGTTTATAGTCTGGCACTTCTAACAGTGTGGAGTTTTTCCTGGTTTGCTCCAATTTTAATAGATTTAGAGCTGATCAGTATTTGAAGACTCTATTTTAGCTCATGTCTGAAAAAATCTGAGTAGCCATTAGGGAATTTGTACCTCTAGCACAGGATCTCATATTTCCTAGAATGTGCTCCCTCTTCAGGCATGCATGTTCTTGGAAAACATAGTTCTCTGCAATTGCGTTAGAAGATTTTGAAGAGCTGCCTTCCATAAATTAAAAAAATGCTCAAGTTGCCATATTTTAGTCCAATGGAAACGTAAGTATAACTACACTAACTTTTTGTGGGCAATCTGCATCCAGTTATCCTATGTAAAATCCTGATTGACCTTTATGATATGGGAAAAATCTAGAATTTCTGTTTGACAGAGCAACTGAATTGTTTCCCCTTTCCTGCACCTTCATCTGTTCTCATCTTTTTGAAAGTCTTCATCTCCTGACCTTATCAAACTTGTGAAGGTGGTTCCCCCCTCCACTTCTGTCTTTTTCTATTGTTCTCTCTGTTCTGCTCTTTTCTTTTGGGGGAAAGCACACAGGCAGCTGCAGTGGACCTGAGTGCAACAGTTGGCTTTCTGGGCATTGCCTCACTGCCTGCTTTTCCTGGTATTCTCATCAGCTCCTGCAGACTTTAATCTTTCCAAGTAAAAAATTGGTGCTGAATTTCTATGCTGAACCTAACCTGAACTGCCCAAGCTGTTGAACCAGGAATGGGTTTGTTCTGTCATTTATGCAAGTGTAGATCAGGTTAAGTCTTGCTTTGAAGTCAATACTGTTGGTTTAGAACTAGTACAGCTGTGAGAGGAACGTGTCAGTGTGAGGTGAGCTGCCTGCATTTGTTTCAGAGGGGTTTGAACACTGGCGTCTCCGGACTGTTTCACAGCCGCTGCTCTTCACAGGGGACCAAGATATGGAGTGGATCTATTTAAGGTAGGATTTCAGCTGGGTTTTATTTTCTTTCTTTTTTTTCCAAAATGTGTTTGGTTGAAGGTGTGTTGCATATTTCCCTGTCCTGCTGAGACAGGGAATAAAGTAGTGATGTATGAAAAGCAGTCTGTATTAAAGGTGTTTATGTACTTTATAGCCTGCTTCAAAATCCAATAGAGATTCTCTAATATATGATCTGCTTTTTATTTGTTTAATGAAAATTTAATTGTTCTGCAATTTAAAACACAGATCAGGACCAAATTTTAAAGAAACCACACCACCAGCCAAGAAATTACAGATGTCATGCCATTATTGGCAGCTGAACATTCGAGCCTCCAGATGCCTTCAAAAGCAGCATCTAGGTGTTTCCCTCATTTACTCACACATCCAGGGTGGTTTGTGCTCCCTGCAGATCAGTCACAAGACAATGAGAACTCACTTTATCTATTGGGGTGGCAGAGCTTCAGACTTGTCAGGATGGTCCCAAAACTACCATCCAGCTGGCCACACAAAATAATAGTTCAGCAACACCGGGACAGGAGTCCAGGGTCTGAGTAAGGCTGGTTGCTCAGCACTTACTGAAGAGGGGAGTGTGTTTCCACATATGTAGCATGTCACTGACAAGTGGCATAAGCAAGCAAAGATAAATCCATTTGTAGCACGTGCTAACCAAATGAAAAGCATAAGTGTAGTGGCACAGGATCTGGAGAGACGTGGTAGGCCTGGAGACTTGGACTAGGTCCAGTTGTATACAGAGACTTTTTGTGCAAGCATTACAGGAGTTAAATCTTTTTAACCAGCTAGGTGGAATAGTGGAAAATGTGCCCTTTAATATCAAAATAGTGACTCTGAAGGAGGCAAACAGAGACATCCCACCACCTGTGTTACTCCAGTTTGTTTATGAAGAGAAGGAAGGGTAGATAGGGTGCCATAGCAGGTGACCCTGATACTTGGTACTTTATTCACAGAACCTTTTTGGAGAGTCACTTCTGTCAGGTGCTGTGGTAAGGTCCAAAACTGTTAATTGTTATCAATAGACACAAATTCTATAGCATGTGCTGCAGGGGTGGCCAGGGTTGCTTGATCCACCAGTTATAGAAAACTGTTTCTGATGCTGGAAATTACTCAGAGATTGTTTTAGTGACAAGAGTGCACTGAATCTCTGATGGGTGGGATGCCCTTTTTGGGTATAGCTGCTGGGATGCCAGTGCTGGGACTGCCTGTGCTGAGGTGAGAGCTGCCTGTGCTGCTCTGCCAGGCACACCTGATGTGGCTCCAGGACAGACATGACAGTCTTGTCCTCATCTTTGCAGATGCAGGACTTGGTCTGTAGGTCACTCCAGCAGATGAGCTTCTTTCTGGCAATTCAGCTCAACCAGAAGATGTAGCCAGGAAAGCAGGACTCTGTAGGAAATCTAGAAAATCAGTTGTCACAGGTACTTGTGGTAACGGAGAAATGCTGATGTGTGTGATGGAGCAATGGTGCTTTGCTATTACTTCCACTGAAATTGTCTCAAGGAATTTGCTATGGACATGAGCTGACTCTGCTGTCCCGTGGGTGGACCAGATTATTTGCATCTTCCAGTTTCTGGAGAGCAGAGCTGATCTCTCGTGCCATGATGTGCCATCAGGTTTGTTGCCCTGACCTTTGGTACCTCTGTGTCACCAGCTCAGAGCTCAGCTGCGCGTGTTGGGTTCCGGCGTGACCCCGCATGGTCCGTGACACAGCAGTGAGTGAGCGTTCCTTGGCATGGGCTGGCTTTGGTGTGCCAAGATAGCTTCGTCTGAAGTGGGTTCCTTGGCTGTTTACCTCTCAAGCAGCTGCTCTGGAATGCACAGAAGTGATGAAATCAGTGGGGGCATT